GGGTCGGAGAAAAAAAAAAAAGAGAGAGAAAGAAAAAACACAGCGCCTGAGATCCTCTCCTCCTCCCACACCCCGACCAGAGGGGACCCAGGTGGGTCTTCCCTCCTTGGGAAAAGGGGTGAGGGGGTGTCCGTCCCGTTCCCCCCAGCACGGTGGGGTGCCGGCGTCCCTCCTCACGCCACGGTGAACGCAGCAGGAGAAATGAAGGGGTGAAACAACCTCAGGACTGGGGGCCACAATCCCTCTGACCCCCCCAGAAACTAACCAGCCTACAGACCTAAGGCCCTGCCTCGGGCAGCCCGAGGCTAAGGCCAAATATGAAAAGAATTTAAAAATAATATAGCGCTAAGAACGGTTGCAACATTGCAATTTGCAGTAGATACAAAAACCAAGTAAAAGGGTCTCTGACCTTCCTAACCTTAGATGAGTTGAGATCCACCCCCAACACTCCCTTCCTGCCTACCGTGAATATAATTAAGGGGAAGCTGCAGTGGTAATTTCTCTCCTCATTAACTTCCTGATTGGTTTCAGGCTCAGGATTCCGGCGGGCGGCAGTTTGTCACCAATTCCAAATGGCCAATCGTTAATACTAATGTTTGTGTAACTAACTGCCAGCATCTGCCACGGCTTCTTGTACAACAATAATAGTGAAAGGGTAACATTAGTGCTTCCCGTGTTAATTCAGATTCTGTTCATCAATAGGAAAATCTATGATGTAATTAGCAAAATGCATTGGTAGTTGAGGCAGTCGGAGGGAACTAAATCATGGCGGTAGCTCCATGGGCCCCTGACACCTTAATCATCAATACTTATTATGTTCTGGATTTTACTGTTTAGTAGAGAATATTACCAGGCTGTGATCTTTTTTTAAAAGAGAATATTGTTTACAACCATAGCTTGTTTTTTTAGAAGCCATGATGAATCTAGTACAACTGCGTAAAAACAAGGAATGCAGAGTTGAGGCTTAAACTCGGTCCCCAAACTGCACCACTGTAGTTAAGCGAGCAGCTCCTCCATGCTTAAGCCCTGGGTGCTTGCAGGCTCTGGGGACTTCCAGCACGTCTGAAGTTCAATGAGAAAGAAAAGGTCAGGCTTGACTTTCACTGCCAGGCAAATCCAACTGGATTCAAGGAAAGTAAACAGCAGCCATCTGGGTTTACCCCATCACTGGGAAAACGAGAAACACTCTCTTAAGAAAACACCAAGGTCCTGTTTCTGTAGTATCATATGTTTCTGCAGTAACTTCCATTTGCAGTTCAGCTTCCTGATTTGTTCTTATTTTAAACCCGACGCTGGCTACCACAAGATGGAAAAGACATTACGGAGTTGAGGTCTCATGTATCATTTTCACGTACTTTTCCTATGACTAGATAAAACAGCAATTTCTGTTACTTTCAGAGTTTTGCCCTTTTTTTGACATTGCAGAACCTGGCTCCTCTATTTCATCCTTTGATGGATGTAAGGGACAAGTAAGGCTTTAACATCACCCTGCCAAAGCAGACTTCACTATTGTCTTTTAGACCTGACATAAAACTTTTTTTTTTTTCTTTTGAACCTGATGAATGGGATATTAGCTCTAATACTACATTTTCTCCTAGCTAAAAGACAAAGAAAAGAATGCGGTGCTTAGATATGAGGGAGTGACAACATAGTCAAGGCAACTTACAGTTTTTAGACACCCGGCAAATGCTGCTAATGGTTTAATGACACAGAATGAGGAATCTGGATCTGGAGCACCATGTATTGCTCAGCTCTGTGGGCCTGAATAACCATTGGACTGCTGGAGGAGGGCACTGATTTGCACCTAGAGCAGGCTAGAATAGCACTTGGGTAACCTCCAGTTGGGAACAACTTTTGTAGATTTTAACTTTTTTTAGCCCACCAGTCCTGAAACCCAGAAGCACCGCAGGATCAGAAACGCTCCTTGCAGGCTGCAAGAGCCAAGCTCTCTTCTGCCATGAGAACATACCAAGCAATTCCTGATGCTGCATTTCCCACCTCCACTTTTCAGTGTGTAAGTGGGGTTGATGGTGGAGTCCAAGGAGAAGTCATATCTCCTCAGTGTCTGGATGAGTATGCAACTTGTCTTTCCACTTCACTTCCTCCGCTAAGGCTTTGCTTGAGATTTCATCACTGCCTGCGAGCTCCGAGGACTTGACCCAGATGCAAAC